ATATCATAGACTAGCCTGCTGCTGGGGGAGTTGCGGTATTTAGTAATAATCTGGAATTTCATTTTACGCACGCTGCTCTATGTGTCACGTTTGATGAAGTAGAAAACGTTACAGGAAAGGGTCAAGGTAAACCCACGGATGGGGCTAGAGGGATGGAATGGCCTCCTTGGTTGCTTGGAATGCAATATCCAGGTCCTAGCTGGGTGGTCGCATTTATAATTCAGAGGCCTTGAGGTTTGGGGAAACAGGGATGTCAATCAAAAATATTGCTCCATGACATCATATAAAGTAGCCATATGGTGCCTGACCGTTGATGAACTACAAATCCCGCTACTCGGATCTGTAGCTCCTCGAAAGCTAAAAGGGCCACAACAGGATCGTAACTAGAAATCACAGGGCCCCATAGCAAAATTTTGTATGGGGCCCCTTTGATCTCTAGTTACACCCCTTGCAGAGCCCAATTGAGATCCCACACAGCCCACCTGAGGGTGACCCTGTAGAGCCCACCATAGACTCTCTAAGGTGGGCTCTGCAGGGTCACCCACAGGAGGGCTGGTAACACTCCTTACCTGTCCGCCTCCTCTTCCCCCACCGTCGGTGATGAGCCCCACCTCCTCCGCCAATCGCCAGGCGCGGGCCCCGCCGCCTCTGATGCCAACTCCGGGCTCGCCTCTTCCACTTCTGGGTCCAGCCTGCTCCATCGCCGCTGCTTGCTCTCACTGACTACGCAGCGGCTGTGGAGAGGAACGCGACGCTGCACAGATCTGAACAGCGGCACATTTCTCTTCACAGCCACCAGTGACAGCCAGCAGCATGAGATGCCACAGCGACCCAGGCGGCCCGCAGGGCATCAGGAATGTCCTGGCCGGGTCGCTATGGTGATTGTTACGACACAAGCTGCAATTAAGAACATTACAGAACTGAAAAAAAAAACATACAGCATAAGGATTAGGGCTGCCACCTGTCCAGGAATCACCCGGACAGTCCGGGTTTTGAATGCTGTGTACGGGTTTCATGGCAGCAGAAACCCGGACACATGATGTCAGGCAGACAGGGGCAACCAAAATTAAGATAGGGGCTACTGGCCCCCCACTGAAAATAGTCTCAGCTGTGATATTAACATATGAATGGGCGGCGCTATTTACATATGAATAAGCAGCGACTCAAACCCCCCCCCAAAATTTCCGTGTGCCGCTACTGTCTTTGGGTTTCACTGGAAGAAAAGGTGGCAACCCCTAATAAGGATCCTTATTTTTTTGAAACTGACAGTTTGTCCAATTACATTTTAGAATTACAGTCACATGACTAAAAAACAAAGATCGTTATCCTTGTGTAAAGCTTTCTGAATTGAGCCTTTTGCATCCCCACATATTATCCAGGCCAGCTGCTTTCCCAACTATTCATAAGCAGGAACTAAGCTGACCCTACATGACCCCATGTTTGTAAGTGAATCCGTAGAGTCACATTATTTGCGCTGTGTAGGGAATACTTTTCAAGCCATAATAAGCTCACCTGGACTTCCGCGATGCTGGTTGTAATCTATCGATTTTATCATCTGTTAATATCATGGAATTTTCTGTAACTGTTGTTTACCTTTCCCATGCAAAAAAAAAGGGATACAATACTTTGCCTGCATGGTGACCACAAAGGAACTTTGACCAGCTCAGGATAAGAGATTGTTGGAGGTCTGTACAGCACAGGATTCATAATAATACAATCAGATCATTCACCAAATGTCATTCCCACTAAGAGGTCGGTCCATCTGTAGCTATGCTTAGGGGGGCCTCTGTCAACAAGCCGTCCTTGTGACAATAGACAAATTCAACTTTCTTACGGGAGCATTCAACTTATATTTCAGATCAGTTTGAGAAGTGTAGTCACCCTGTCCTAAGCAGGGGTGACTCTTTAAATTTAGCTTTGCTGGGCTGTAATCAGCTTAAGCTGGATTTGTAGTTCAGCTTTCTGCAGGCTTCCCCCAAGATATCAGTTTTATTGTTCACGTCTGACTGCTGCCTGGATGTGTCCTTGACATGAGAGCAAGAAGATACAAGACTTCCGAGTGAGGAATATTTATGTCCCCGTGGCACACCACTAGGAGGTTTATTGCCAGGTTCATGCTGGGAGAGGGCATAAATATTAGGGGAGGACCTCTCCCCCTCAAGCATCCTGTGTGTGTTGGAAGTCTCATGCTCCTAGGCCTGCTGCCTAAAGAGGGCAAACACATGCTATTGAACTTAGGAGTATGGGGCCTAGACTACACCAGCCTTGCTGGAGGGGTATCTTGGGAATGAACAGAGACTTCAGCTGGAAAGATTCACTTCAGCTGGAGGTGCCTGATAAGGCAGAGGTGGGCTTGGTCCTTACCAGTCACTTAAAGTCAAGGACTCCATCCTAAGATGCAATAATAGCCTATCTGACCTCTGGGGCTCTCTGATAACTTCTACGGGATAGCTTCCCTAAGGGTGAGGGTGCTATAGATGCTTCTACGATCATTTAGAGTTCATTGAGAGGTGCATCTAAAATTTTGTTGACCTCTTCTGACTTGCATTTGACCTCCTAAGCTGTTTTTATATTCCCATTTACTTATGGGGAGAGAAGCAGCTCTGATGCAAACAGCCTGTTGACCGAGGCCCGTACTATTTTGATCAGGAAGGCTCGTCTGCTACCTTTTTTCTGTCAATATTTTTATGAAGGAAATGCAGCACCAATTTTAGTACTTTGCCTATCCTAAAAGGTGCCCATACACTGTATGATTCTCGTACGAGAATCGCGGGAAATCCCACGATCGTACGAGAATCATGCAGTGTATGGAAGGCGTGCGACCGTTTCTACTGTACGGTCGCACGTCTTCCGTCGAACCAGCATGCTAGAAAACCCGCCGGGAATCGTACGATTCTCGGCGAGTTAGTGGCGTGCTGGTTCGACAACTGCCGAACGGGCCGGTGTGCGCACGCGCACACCGCCCGTTTGCAGTCATCGTAAGCCCGCCCCTCATTACAGTCATCGGAAGCCCGTCCCTCAGGGGGGCGGGCTTGCGATGATCGCAAGTACGATCTGCCTGTCCAAGATGGGCAGATCGTACGTTTTTTTAATTACTTTACAACCATCGCAAGACTAAGGTCTTGCGATGGTTGAAAAGTGTATGGCCACCTTAACAGGCATACTTCCAAGGTGGCTCCAATGGAAGCTGTGCCAAGAACAACCAACTGCGAGGAGGAAGATCCACAACACACTGGAGGCATAACCAGTGGCTTGTGAACTTCTAAGGCTGCGCCGGGATTTTAATCTCTTGTTAGCACAGGGATCAAGAGGGGAGTGCCAATATTGAATGTAACAAACGGCAATAACTTTCTCCTTATTTTGCTTTCCTCTTTTGGCCACCTCAAGACATTTGTACTTAAATTTGTCAATAGAACTGTAAGGAGAGAAGATGGAGAGGAGTCGGAACACGGGAACAGTTCCTTTGCCTTCTGTTAGAAGAAAAACACAAAAAAATAAGCAAGAAAAAGTCTGATGGTCCCATTATACACTGACTACTGCAATAGCTGAATCGCCAAATTAAAAACCGCCCTGTGACCGCAAGCACATCCGCATCCCGTGGCTTTCTTTAATTAAAAGTGAATCGGGCTCAATGGAGAGTAGGATTGCAATTACTAGCAAGAGACAAAAAGAGAGGCAGCACTGGGACAAACAGAGAA